GGGCCAGGACCAGTGCAGCAGGCGTAGAGGTGGCCCCCTTCCGGGGGCGGCAAAGAGGGGGGTGATGACTGGCGGGGGGGATGGATATCATGGCGGGCGCCATGCTCTCTCCCCAAATTTCATGGCGCCTCTTCTTATTTCAATACGTCCCTGGCCCCCCCCCCCGGGCCGCGCACATGCCCCTGGCCATGAGTTGCGTACCCCCTCTTGAACGCCTCCCTCTTGGCCGCCCCCGACCCTTGAGATCCGACGGCGCGAAGACGTGCCTCATCTCGGCGACTACAAATCGGCGGCGAGGAGGGGGGGAAGTGAGAAGGAGAAGGCCTTCTCAGAAGGCGGCGGGGCTTCTCGCAGAAGCCCTGGCGCCTTCGGATAATTTTTTCTTGTGTCTTAGGGGAAGGCTCAGGACATTTCTCAGAATGCTGGGGGACTTCCGAGCCTTCTGAGAAGGCCTTTTCCTTCTCACTTCCCCCCTTCGCTCGCCGCCAATGCAAGGGGTATGGTTACGCTGGGGTGTGGTTTACGATCTGCACCGCTGGAGCCTGGGGGGCACGACGCTGGCCTCGTCGGGCCGCCTCGGGGCGCGGCTGGAAGCTCCGTCGAGGTCCTCGTCCGCCCCTCCATGGTGCCCCAGGGTGCCTGTTGCAAACCGCACCCTCTGCCCTCTGCAAACCACACCCCTCGGAGGCGCCGATCGTCGTGGGAAGCCACGGCCAGAGCCCCTAGAGCCAATCTTCCCGTCTCGTTTCTTGAGCCGGACCGAGCCGAGAGGGCCCTGGGGCCCGAATCTGGGCCAGAGCCCCGTGGGAGCACAAGCTGCGACGCCGGGATCTCGGGGTCGTCGGGCGGAGCCAGGACCAGGATGAATCATGCAAGGGCGTCTTGGAACGCTCTCAGAGCGTGCCAGAGCACTGGAACGGCCGCGGCGCCAGAGACATCCTCCAGAGCCGCCAGACGTCACTGGTGCACCGCCGACGTCGCGATGCATTGCCGACGCATGGGTGATGCATCGACGATGCGGCGCGATCCTTCGGCCCCATCTATACGCCGACCCCACTTGTTGGCGGCGAGCGAGGGGGGGCGCGAGGAGGGGCGGGCCTTTTCAGAAGGCTCGGAAGTCCCCCGGGCTTCTGACAAGTTTTCGAAGCCTCTGCCCCGAAGGCACATAAACAATGGTTCGTAAGGTGCGAGGGTTTCTGAGAAGTCTCGCCGCCTTCTGAGAAGGCCTTCTCCTTCGCATTTTTGCCCCTCGCTCGCAGCCAATCCCCGTTCCTCGCGCGCGAGGGTGGGGCTGGGCCCCCCCTGGTAGCCGAGTGGTCTCACGAGGGAGTTGTGGTGCTTGCCTCAGGTCGGGCATGTCTTCCAACAGGCGGATTTTAGAAGAGACGCCCAAAATAGTCAAACATAGGCAAAAGTAGCCGAACAAAACACGACCAATCGTCACCAAACCATCTTTCACTATTCTTGAGCAGTCCTCCTGTAGAGGGACATGCGTGACTTCATGTTTACCCGCTCCTCGAATGCGCTGCTCCCCCGCGCCTTGCTCGCGGCATGGCGCCCCACGGGCAGGCACGCTCCGAGCCGCCGCGGGGAGGCCCAGACCTCCGACGCCGTGAGCTGCTCGGCCCCGGCCTTCCTGTGCCTCGAGTGCGGGCCTTGGGGCGTGCCTTTGTTCGGGCCTGCAGGGCCAGCACCCCCGCGCCGCCGCGGAACGGAGAGGTGAGGAGGTCCAGATCTCAGGAGGCTTCTGTGTGTGTGTGTGTGTGTGTGCGTGTGTGTGTGTGTGTGTGTGTGTTAGTGTGTTTGTGTGTGTGTGTGTGTGTGTGTGTGTGCGTCTCCACGGTTTCCCCCGCAGGCTGCGGCCTCTGGGGCCGGGCTTCGCGCGCCCAGGGGCCCTCGAGAACGGGCCCGGGGCGGAGACCGGTGCCCAGGGGGTCGGGAGCTCTGGGGCCGCGCGCGCTGGGAGAAAGAGACAGGTCGTCACCACCCACCAAACGGCCCCAACCCAACCCGAAGGCCTCGATTTGCCCTCCATTTCCGGTGGGGCGGGGGTCGGGGAGCACAGACAAAACATATGGAACCCGTACCCCACCCCCCAACCCGAAATTCGGCTCAAATTCGGGTTGGGTTGCGTTGGGGTGGTCTGGTAGGTAGGCAGGTCGGCGGTCACGGGCGAGGCGCTCTTCGGGGGCAGGAGCGGCGCGGGGGGTGGGGGCGGCCCGGCCAGGCGCCCCGGCGGGCGGGGTGAGCGGCCCGGCTAGGAGCGCGCACGCCCAGAGCGGGCGAAGGGAGGAAGGTCGGATTCGGGCGAGTGGGTCCTTTGCAAAACGGGGGTGCCGAAGATGTGCGCAGCAGTTCGAGCAGTCGTTCGTGCGGGATGTGCACGTCCTACACCATCAGCACGTGGCTGCCGCGCGCCTTGCGCCACAGGATGAGCTACTGCATTTTTTCAGGAGGAGAAAAAACGCGCATACACAATCAATCGTCGATCCCCGGGAAAATATGGGAAAATATGGGAAGCGGGGGGGGAGACGAACCCTCAGAAAATATGGGAAAATGTGGGGAATCCTGGGATTTGCTTGTTTTTGTTTGCGTGCCCTGGGGCCCCTTCATGTCTGCGACCCCACTGCGAGAGGCCCCCTGTGCGCCCGGAGCCGCGAGGGGGGGAGCGCAGATCGGAGGGGGCCGCTGGCTGCCGTCCGCCCACTGGCGGCTCAGGCTCCTGCCCGGCCTCCTGCGCGGGAGATGACCGCGCGCAGCCTCGGCGCGCGCCGCCCTCCCCCCGCACGACGGAAGCTTTGACGAAGAGGCCTCGGTTGAAAATTATGTTCTCGAAATTCAACAATCCGTTTGAGATCTAGTATTTTTTGCCCAGCTCTATGACCTCATTCCCGCTCGCCATCTTGATCTCAGGTCAATCTGGTGGATAGTACTCGAAAAAAGCAACGAGGCGACCCCAACCCAACCCGAAGGCCCCGATTTGGCCTCCATTTCCAGTGGGGGAGGATCGGGGAACATGAACAAAAACACGTATGACACCCGTACCCCTCCCCCCAGCCCGACATGCGGGCGAAGTTCGGCCCTTCGGCTTGGGTTGGGGTGCTCTGGTCGGCAGTCCCCCCCTCCCCAGCCCGCGCCCCGCAGCTGCTGGGCCGCCGGCAAGTGCTGCCCGGCGTCGCCCAGCTCCTGCACGAGGCCTCCGCCCAACGCCGCCTGGGAGCGGAGGGCGCGCATCAGATCCGGGGGTCCCCGAAGCTTGCGGTGACCACACCGCGTGGTGAGTCAGCGGGGATTCGGGCTCACCGCGCGCTTTTTTTGGGGGGGGGGACTCGTGTGTCGTTCTCAGAGGATGCCTCGAGCGGCTGGGGCCTCGGAGGCCCCGGCACCGTGCGGTGACGGACCGCGCGGGGAGGTCGCTGGGGGTTCTGAGGCCACCACGCGGCCGGTCACCACGCGGTTTGGGGGCCCCGGCTGGATGCACACATCTTGGACGATCTGATTTCCCCCCCCGGCCGTGGTCAAAAGCTGGTCTCCGACGCTCCGAGCCGCCACGGAACGGCACGGAGAGGCCCAGATTTCTGCAGATTTCACTGTTTTCCTCACCGAGCGCGTTCCACTACTCGCTGGGATTGCGTACTCGCAAACGCCCGAAAAATGGGTTGCTGCCTCGACGTCGTATATCGTATAAATGCCCCGCGGCGGATCCAGGTCATTTGCGAGTAGCTACTTTTCGGGGAAACGTAAGACTCGAGTAAGCCGGAACTCGGGTTTGTCAACTTTTTTTTGACGAGCGCGTCCTGGATTTTGACGGTCCCGCCGTTTTCGTGGGATGTCTGCAGCGGGAGCCCGCGTCAAATTTCGGATTGGGCCTCGTCATTTCCATGATGGCCCCCGCCAGGCCCACCCCGAGTCCCCCGCACCCGAGTCCTACGCCTCCCCGAACTCTGCGAGCAGTGGAGCGCGCTGGTCCACTGCCGTGGCCTTCCCGCAGACTCTTCGGCCTCGGGGGCCCAGGCTTCGCGCGCGCGAAGAGCCGTCCCCAGGGGAGGGGTCTGGGCAGCAGCTGGACGAAGTGTCCGAGCCCTTACGTGAGCGACGCAAAGCAAAGAGAGGGGGTCGTCTGCGCCGACGTTGGCGCGTAAGCTTAAGTCGGGCCTGTCCCTCTACAGGAGGCGTATTCACAAATCGTCCAAACATGATCTGGGGACGATTTTTTGAGCACTTCAAAAAATCGTCCAAACTCCGCCTGTAGGAGGACATGCCCGTCCTCAGCGTAAGCTGCCCGCGTAAGGTCGCCAGTAAGCGCCCTCGTCTCCACTGTGGCTTGCCGCGCGGGCGGCCCGCGTAAGCCACCGCGTAAGGTCGCTGTGCCATCTCGCGTAAGACCCCTTTTTGATCGTCGCTCACATGTTCGAGGGGATTTCTGATCACCCCCCCCCCCAGCCCCCGAAGCCAATCTTGATCTCAGTCAGGCGGTGCTTTGGGGGCTCGAAAATATTTCCGTCCACTCACGCCCCCTCCTGCGCAACGCTCTCAATATTCACTTCGGGGGCAGCTTGGGCCACAGGGTTCGAATCTCATGTCCATGAACGGTCCCCCATCTTGTTTGGCAGGTGGGAGTAGGGAGGAGGGAGAAGGGAGGGGGAGGAGAAGGTGAAAAAGGCTCTACAGATGCCACAAACGTCAGCATCACAACCATCATCGCTCTCATCGGCGTCATCATCTTCACCGCCGTCATCATCTTCCTCATGTCCATCTGCGGGTGGTCTGGGGCCGCGGCTTGAGACCCATGCCGTCTGGCTGGGGCTAGGCACGCCTGGCTCCGATCTTGGCCAGGCCGGTCCTGGGCCCCCGGGCGGGTGCACCTGCCCTCCGCGCCGAGCCCGGAGGGCGTCCGAGGCGGGAATCTTTTCGTGACCTCCGCCTGGAGGATCAATTTTCGGGGACCTCGGGAGGCAGTGGACATGGACGTATTCGGGCCCCCCCCCGGGGCCAAAATATGTCCGTAGCCACCGCCCAGTCGGCTCCCAGGCCCCAGGCGGTGGATGTGGCCAAAGCCCCGCCTCGTATAGGGCGTGTGTCCCGCGCCTGGGCCCGGGACGGGCGGCCTGGTCGGGACTGGTGCGGGCGCTCTCTCCGGCAGGAGCCCGAGGGTACGGTAGGTTTGCGCCGTGTCGACCAGCGGCGACCCCAGCGCGGGCGTTCAAGGTTGAACGCCGCCGGCGACCCAGAATCGATCGATGTCGAACGATCGGACGTTGCGGCAGCGGCCGATCGTTCAAGGCTGAACGATCCTCGCGGCGTCAGGGACCAACGCCCAGGTCGACACCGCACGAACCTGCCGTACCCGGTCTCTTTCATGGCAGCTTGTAGGTCGGTACCGCCTGTCGGCCCCCCCCCCCGCTGGTCTGTTTTGCCTTGTTTTTCTCGGCCGCGTCGGGTCTCGGAGGAGGTGCCGCGGCCCCTTCTGTGGCAAGTCCTGCGGGTCCCTCGGGGGGAGGTCCTCGGGGTGTGTCTGCTCTCGGAGGTCGTGGTGCAATGGCGGCAGCTTGAGGTCGTTGGCCACCCTGTCTGGTCACAGGCCACAGTCGCTACAAGTCTCGAGGAAGCGGCAACATGGATTCAGGTGCGTGGGTTAGCGACGCGTCGCTCGGACGTGTGCATTTTTCCTTCGGCGAGGACCATCGAGGAGCATCCTTGATCATTTGGCGAAAAAGCACGCACGAAACCGAACAAAAACACAGGGAATGGACGTCCGAGCGATGGCCAGTTAGCGACGCGTCTCGTTTCCATCGAAGGTCGACGCGCTCCGTCGCCAAACCAGGCGGCACCTGCTGCACGTTTCGGGGGGTGCCGTCCCCGATCCGTAGCTCCGGCGCCCGCGCGCCAGATCCGCGGATCCGTAACCCATGTGTGCCCGACTCTCGTTGGCCAGTTTCCTGGAGGGAAAAAACGCACAGACACAAGTAAACGTCGACTCCCCAGAAGATATAGGAAACTATTGGAAGTGGGGGGGGAAGACGAAAACCCAGAACATATGGGAAAATGTGGGGCATCCTGTTATTTGTGTGTGTGTGTGTGTATTTCGTTGTGTGCTCCAGGGCCCCTTCAGGTTCCTCCTGGTCAAAGGTCATAGGCCCTTCAAGCCTCGCCACAGCCGACGCCACAAAACTGCGGCCGCGCCGCAGGGAGCCCGCCCCCGCCCTGCCAAATCGAGGCCAGCGCGTCGGGCTCCGCGCACGGGCGGCCACTCGGCCACGAGCCCCGGTGCGACCGCGTGTGGACCTCGGTGTGGCCGCTGGTCGGCGACGGCTCGTCGTGCGAGAAGCCACCCGGGCTGCGTCCGCGTCGCGCGAGCGGCGGCGGAACTCTCGGACGGGCGGGTCCGCTCGCCGAAGCTGCGGCTCCCGTGGGCGCAGGCTCGGGGCACGTGCGCCCCCGCCGTGGCGCCCTCTTCGCCGGGCGGCAGCCGAGGCGGCGACGTTCGCCGTGCGGCTGCTGGTCTGTGCACGCATGTGGGGTCCACGGTGGCCGCCGAGCAAGCGTGAGAGGTCCTCGCGCTGTGAGCTCGTCCACACTCGGATCCGCCGCTCCAGGACGCCAGGGGTCGAGTGCAGGGAGTCGACTGCAGAATTGATTTACCCCAGAACTGCTCTTTCAGGCGGATCTGCCAACATGCGAAGGTCGTCCTGTAGATCTGCAAGGAAGTCTATGAATTTCCGTAGGTTTGACAAGAAACTCAGCTTTGGGGCAAGTCAATTCTGTAGCCGATCCCCTACTTGAAGGGGGCGGCCATGGAATCCATGGGAGGGAGGCGCTGCACTCTGGACTGGCCGACCCCCTGTCTCCAGCGTCTTTTTTTTTTTTTTTTTTTTTTTTTTTTTTTTTTTTCTCTGGGCGGGCTTGGTGCTGGCAGGACGGGCCCAGTGCCTCGACCGCCAGCGCTGGTGTTTGTGGCTGTCATCACAAGTCGGTCTGCGTCCGCGTCCGCTGCCGTGGTGGTTCCGCGGCCCCTCCTGCGGTTGCTGCTACCGGGGCGCTCGTCGGGCCTCGTGCGCGGTGCTGCGCCGAACTGCAGGCAGGGGACGCTTGTGCCCGGCCGCCTCCTCGTCGCCGACGCTTCTGCCCTCGTAGTCGGTGCAGGCCCCTCTCGCTCGCGCCAGGCCCCCCCCACGGCTACCTCTTTGAGCCCATTCGACGTCTGAGCCCGCTCGGCTGTCGAGCGAATCCTGGGTCGAGTCCATTCGGCTGCCCGAGGGGTCAAGCTCACGCCTCGCCGTTGCATCGGCATCGCCCCGGCATGCTTGCACCCTGTGGGCGTCGGCCCTGCGGGGGCGACGCGCACGCTGGTACATCAGCACTCTGCAGTAACAGATCCCCGCGGTGGGCGCGCTCTGGCCGTGCTGCTCGGGAAGCGAGAGCTGCCGCTCCTACTTCGTGTGCGGAATGCTTGTGTCGGACGTGCGCCGCCCAGATGAGCGCACAGTCTTACGGCAGAGGGAACCAGTTAGGGAACACCCCCCCTGCCCCCCAAACTCAAAGTTGGCACGCGCGGGGGAGAGAGACTGCGGTCGAGGTGCAACTCAGCAGAGCCACCGCCAACCTCGAACATTTGGGGGGAGGGGGGGAGGCGTTCACAGATATGAATTGTGGCATGAGTGGTCGCTATTTTTTCCCGAGGCCTGCAGCGTGTCCTCCTGCGCCCCCTTCGAGTGGAGCCCATGGGCGGCCTGCCCGCCCGGCGGCCGCGCGGGCTCGGATGGCGAGCGGGCCTGGGCGGGCACCCTACCGGGCCGCCCGGCCTGCCCCGCGCAGGACTCGGGAGAGCGCGCGCGCGCGGCGGCCGGCCACGGGGGCTGGAGTCGCGGCCGGTCGGTGGCGGCCACGCGCAAGAGGGACCTTTCGCCGGAGGGACCTTTGGTGCGGGCCCGATGGGGTCCCCCGATCGCCGAACGCGATGCGGTGGTAGCGTTCTGCGCGATCGTGTCTGGTCCCCCCGCGGCCCCCAGAAGGCCGCGCACCAAAGGTCACTCTTACCCAGGGTCACTCTTGCGTGTAGTCGACGGTGGCGCGGGGCCCGGGTGGGCCGCCCGCGTGTCGTATTCGGGGCTCAAGACACGGGGGTCAATGCAAATGGGGGTCAGCCAGAGCGGCCCATCTTGCAGGATCCTGCATGGCCAGGGTCGCATTGACCCGGGCTTGGGTGCAGGATTCTGCAGGATCCTTCGCATTGACCCGGGTTTGGGTGCAGGATCTTGCAGGATTCTGCAAGGCCTGACTGACCCGGGTCTGGATTGACCCGGGTCAGGAAATTCCCGACGCATCTTGAGCGCGAGAGCGTGTGCACCAGACAGGCGATAAAAGACATCTTGCTATGAGGCATCTCGGGGCACACCCTTCGTCGAGATTGGGGGCTCCCGAGGAGGTGCCCCCGGGGCCTTCGTGAGCCCCCAGGGCCCCTGGGGGAGCTTCAGTGGGGCACCTGCTTGCAGGCCGATCTCTTTCTTGACGCGCCTACCGTACCGGTAACGGCAGCGGCGGCGCGGGCGGCGGCTCAGAGAAGGAAGAGGTAAAGATGCTGATATTACTAAATCGGGCATGCCCCTTCTACAGTAGGAATATTCAAGAGTAGTGAGAAAATCGTATGGTGACGATTTTTCGTACACATTTGGCCATCTTTGATATTTTTGGTGTTCTTTACAAACCTCCGCCTGGAGGAGGTCATGCCCGACCTAATGCTCTTTACCTTCCTCGTCGAAGCAGCTGGACTCGCCCCGAGATCCTGGTCAGAACGCACCCTGGGAGAGGCCTGGGAAGGGGCGACAGCGGAATCTCTTCCCGCTTCCACACGTGCGGCGCTGGGGGGCGGGACGGCCGCGGTCGGGGACAGAGGTCCACGTCCGCGGCCTCGCGGGCCGCGACTCCGTGGACGCGGGGGCGCTGCTTCGCGGATGTCCCGCGCGGAGCCGTATCCGTGCGACCCTCTGCTCCTCCTCCTCCTCCTCCTCCTCCTCCTCCCTCCTCCTCCTCCTCCTCCTCCTCCTCCTCCTCCTCCTCCTCCTCCTCCTCCTCATACGTCGCCGCTGATGAATTTTCACCGCTGGCAAGCCTACTGTGCACCGAGGCGAGGCCGGAGGGTCACTGTGTCCCCAGCTTCCGCTTCCTCCCCGAGCCCGGCGTTTTGTGCAGGCCGCGCGAGGTTTTGGCCCACACTGCCAGGAGCAGCGCTCGGCCCAGCACAAGACACAAGAAACAGCAGATCCGTGCGGCCGCGCATCCACGGGATCGCGCCCCAGAATCCAGGCCGCGAGGGCGCGGAGGCGCACAACGGGGGTGGGACCCCAGCCGGTTGGTGAGGCCGCCGAGAAGATAGTTAGCTACCCCCTGTAGGGGGGTGGGGGGCTCTGAAGACCCTTCAGGGTTGCGGTCGCCGCTCGCGGCGGTGACGAGGCGGAGGCGCAGGCGGCGGCGCGGGAGGCGGAGGCGGAGGCGGCCGGCCGGTGGATGCCAGAGCTGGCTGGCGGCGGGGGAGGGGAAGGAGCCGTGTGGTCGGGCGGGGCCAGGGCGAGGATGAGCGTTCCAGCACGTTCTCAGAGCGTTCCGGGACCCTCTGAGAAGGCCGCGGCTCCCGAGACATCTTCCAGAGCGGCGGGATCTCAGATCTTTTCGATCTATCCCCACGCGAAGTTGTCCTCGTCCTGGCTTCGTCCTGGTGTGGTCGACCGGAGGTGCAGATCGAGGCCACCTTCGCAGACGGCACGAAGCTGCTGACGGTGCACTCGCCAGGCCGGTGCCCGGCGTGCTCTCCCGGTGCGCTCGTGTCTGCTGCGGCCGTCCTCTTCGTCCTCGCCTCGCCCGCGCCCCCGTCTTTGCCGCTCGGCTCCTCCCGTGCTATGGAGTCTTTCAAGCCTCGATCTGATCCCTATCTCTAAGATTGATACGACAAAAAGCGATGACAATCTTAGGGATGCGCCCTCAAAATAAGGGGATTCCTAAGATTGGCATCGTGATGAGGAGTCGGCAGCTCGGTGCAGCTTCGCCACCACTGCGCTGCAGAGCAGACGATGCGCCGAGCTCGCGGCATACCAGGCGGTTCCGCCTGCAGACTCGGGAGGAGCTTCACCCCCCTCAAGCTGCAGGCATCAAGGGTGAAGGACGGAGCGGGGAAGGGGGAAGGAATGAGGAGGGAAGGGGGAAGGGAAGAGGGAGGATGACTGAGCGAGGCGGGAGGGAGAGGGTGGGAGAGGGAGAAGGACGAGGATGCGGGGCGGGAGAATGGGAGGGAGGAGGCGCCGCAGGTCCCGCTGCGACGATCCTCACTGGGGCGGCCCAGTCTCCGAAGAAAAAGGCCCCAAGAGGTTTTTGGAGGCCTCGTAAGGGGGAGGTCCCCAGAGGCCTCGCGAGAGGCCTCGCGAGAGGGAGGTCCCCATGAGGCCTCGCGAGGGGCCCCGCGAGAGAGGGAGGTCCCCAGAGGTCTCCCTGGAGCTCCCCGGCGACAGGGCGCGAAGCACGGCGAGGGCGCGGGGGCCCGGGCGTCCCCCCAGCGGGGGGGGGCGCAAGGAGGGGCAGCGCGGAGGCCTCGGGGGCGCCCGCCCGCCCTCGTCGCCGAGCTCGGTCCGCCGGGGGAGGGGCCTCGGCGCCTATACCCCCGCGGGCGGCGGCGAGCCCCGGTGGGGGGGGGAGGTCGGGGGCAGCGATAAGGGGGGGATAGGCACAGGGGGGGGGGGGGGCTGCATCGGGCCCCACTCGCCCACTGGTCGCCGATGGGGGCCCGATAGCCCCAGCCTGCCCAGGAGGGTGCGGATTCGCCCTTGGGGGCCTATCGCCGATCCATCGGCGATGCATCGCCGATTCCAGGTGGATTCATCCCCCCCTATGCCAGTCCCCCCCCCTATCGTTGCCCCTCAGGGGGGGAAGGGCGAGAGGCGGGGCCTTCGCTCGGGAGCGGCAAAAAGGGGGGTGATGACTAGGGTTAAGTCGGGTAATTGCTCCCCTCAACAGGGGGAATGTTTCTTAAGAGATAGTCAAAACATAGTCTGGGGGCGATTTTTGTTTGGACCATTTTCGAGTATTTGGGGGGTACTTTTGGGTTTCTTTTTTTTCCGTCCAAGATCCGCCTGTAGGGGGACACACCCGACCTAAGACTAGGGGGGGGTGGATCTCATGGCGTGGGCTACGATATTTCCCAGATTTCATGGCGCCTCTTCTCATTTCATGACGTCCCTGGCCCCCCCCCCTCTGGGCCGCCCACGTGCCGCCGGCCATGATTTGCGCCTGCCCCCTCTTGGACGCCCCCCTCTTGGCCGCCCCCGATTCTCAGAGGGCGGCCAGGCTTCTCAGAAACACCCCCGCGGCCTCCTGAGAAGCTCTGTCTTCGGAGATGGCCTACAGTGGAAGCCCATGCCAAGAAGCACCCTGCTCGCCTCCAGTGTGCCCTGGGTGTCTCGGATTTCGACGGCTCTGCTGTGGAGAGCGTGACGTTCCCGCACCAATCAGCAATGGACGTCCTGGGGTCTTAGGGTCAGATCGGGCGTGTCCCCCTGCAGGTGGATTTTGGAAGAAAAATCAAACATAGTCAAAACATACACCAAACATTCCCAAACATACTCAAACCATAGTCCCCCGATTCTTTTTTTGTGTCTATTTTTGAATATTCCCCCTGTATAGGGACAAGCCCGACTTAATCTTAGGGTTGGGTTTCTTGTGGAAGGTTGCTTGTGGTCGGGCCCCTGCTGCAGACAACTTCTCAGCAGGCGCGATGGCATCCGAGAAGCCCCGCCGCCTGCCGAGGTGGCCTACCCCCTCTCGCTTCCCCCCTTCTCGGCGCGTCGCCGGCCCTGATTTTCCAGGATGGCCAAACCATAACACCAGGATCTTTGTGGAGGTTTGCATATCCCAGGACGGAAAGCACGCAGACACAATGAATCCTCGATCCCCAGGAAAATATGGGGAACTATGGGGAGTGTGGTGGGGGTGTGGCAGGCGAACACCCAATACATATATATATATATATACATATATCTACACATACTAGTGTGGGCCCGTGGATTAAATCCACGGAGCTGCGTGAGTTGAGATTTGCCGACGCGCGCTTCTGTTTCGGGCGCGCAAATGCCAACAAGCTGCGGTGTGCGATCGACAGCCAACGTGGAATCGATGATTTTTGCCTCTTCAAGCCCTCTTGGGGGTCTTCCTGGGGCTGTTTTCGGGCGCGTGAAGCCCTCTGGGGCTGTCTTGACAGCATCAGGGCCGTCTTGGGGCCCTCATGGGCAGGCTCGGGGTCCTCTTGGCCTGTCTTGGTGGCGCCTCTTGGGAGCTTGTTGGGCTGTCTTGGGGCTTTCTTGGGCTCCTCTTGGGCTGTCTCGGGGCGATCCTGGAGGCCTCTTGGGCCGTCTTGGGGGTCCAGACGGTTGAGAGCGCGAGAATCTCAGGATCCATAGGAAACCTACGGAAATTCTACGATTTCGGCCTTTCGGGCCCCCCGCGAGTGTCCCCTCGGAGCCGTCCTGGGGCGTCTTGGTGGCCTATGGGGCCGTCTTGGGAGCATCGTAGGCCGTCTGAGGGCAGTCTTGGGCCATCTCGGGGCTGTCTTTGGTCGCCTCGGGGCCTCTTCGAGCCGTCTCGGGGCTCTTCTGGGGAGCTCCAGTTCCGTTTCGGGGCCCTCCAGGCGCCTTCGGGCTCTCCGGGGGGCTCTCCGGGGGGCTCGGGGAGCCGGGGGCCCACGCAAACCTACAAAGCTCCTTGCGGATGTATTTGAACGGATATATATATATATATATATATATAGATCGCTCTATCTATCTCTCTCTCTCTATATATATATATATCTATATATATATATATGTATCGAAAAATGTTGGGAATCCTGAGATTTGTATGTATTTACGTCTGTGTGTGTGGGTGTGTGTACTTGGACCCCTTCAGTATTGCCAGGTTTCTCAACAGTCCTGGTATCTTTCTCTGGAAGCTCAGGCTCCTCCCCCCTCCCCGCGGTCGCCGCGGCCGCAGCGTGTCCTGGGAAGGCCTTGGGCCCGCGGGAGAGTCGGAGGAGGAGCAGGTAGCGATACTGCTACAATTGCACGGCCTTCGTCTCTTTGGACCGCCCGGGAGGCGCTCGTCGCCACGGCTGGATGCGCCTCGAGCTCCTGGTCAGCAGGCACCCCTGGAGAGGCCCGGGGAGCAGCGGTATCGGTATCGGCACCGCTTGCTTCTCCCAGAGAAGGCGGATGTTTGGACGAAGCGTCGGGTCGTTGGCAGGGGTGGCGGGGAGTACGCACCATGAGACCCTTCAGCTCAGCGATCTGGCCCCCGAGCGTCGCCATGGAGATGCTCAGGGGCCAGATCGCTGAGCTGAAGGATCTCAGGATGCGTAGGGAGGGAGGGAAGGAGGAACGGGGTGGCCAAGGGGGGAAGTGCACAGCACCAGATCAGTCAAGCTAGCCCGCGCTGGTGTGGTAAAACTGTGCTGGAAACGCCAGTTCCTGTCGAGGCGCTTCTCCAGAGGCCAGTCCCTGTCGAGACGTTACTCCAGATGCTAGGATAAAGGGATGGGGGAGGTAGAGGAAGCGGAGGAGGAGGAGGAGGAGGAGGAGGAGGAGGAGGAGGAGGAGGAGGAGGAGGAGGAGGAATAATAAAAACAAGACCAATCATCTGACGAAAAAGAAGAAGCATATTACTAATACGAACAATACGAATACTACACATACTACTACTAATACTAACCAACATAAGAAGGCTACTAGTATTTTTCCTACTACTACTACTACTACTACTACTACTACTACTGCTGCTGCTGCTGCTGCTACTACTACTACTACTACTACTTCTACTACTACTACTACTACTACTACTACTACTACTACTACTACTACTACTACTACTACTACTACTACTACTACTACTACTACTACTACTACTACTACTACTACTACTACTACTACTACTACTACTACTACTACTACTACTACTACTACTACTACTACTACTACTACTACTACTACTACTACTACTACTACTACTACTACTACTACTACTACTACGACTACTACGACTACTACGACTACTACGACTACTACGACTACGACTACGACTACGACTACGACTACGACGACGACGACTACTACTACTACTTCTTCTTCTTCTTCAGGAGGAGGAGGAGGAGGGGGAGGAGGAGCATGAAGTTTGGGATGTAGCGGGGTTCAGGGGATGTCGAGGGTGTTCTGGGTGTAGTTTTTATGGGCTATGGTGGGGGAGGAGAGGGCGAGGATGAGAAGGACCCAGGCCTCTAACGTGACGATTTTCGTTCGACGCGCAGGGCAGGCCCCCAGGGCTCTCGACTCTTCGTCTTGGCTGTTCTCTTGCTACTGACCGCTATCGGTCCCGACCTCTGCGGATCCAATCGGCGCTGGGCCAACGGACACCCCCGCCCCCCGCTGGGGTTCACTTGTCACGAGGGGCGAACATATCCATATCCGCGCCCTCGCGGTCCGGATTCCGGGGCGCGATGCTGCGGATACGTGGTCGCACAGGTACGTTCCGCGCGGGGCATCTGCGAAGAAACGCTCCGTATCCGCGTGGTCGCGGCCCAGGGGGCCAGCCCGCGAGGCCGCGGATACGGACATGCTTCTCGCCCGCGAGCTTGGCTGCAGACGGCCTTCAACCTCTGGACCCCGGCCGGTGTTTCAGAGGCCTGACCTGCAGGAGCAGGGCTCAAATGGCACTGCCCATTGACGGACCCGGGGCCCGGGTCGGCCCTCCAGACAGAGGGCGAACGCGCTGGAAGGGCAGGCCGTCGCGATCCTCTCGTGGCGCCTCCACGGGTCTGCCAGGACCCCCGACGCCGTGATTTTTTCGCAGCGTCGACCCACAGGGGTCTGGGCCCCTTCCCGGGGACCGGTTGTTCATCCTGAGTTGTTTTTTCACGGTCCCGAGGTCCGGGCAGGGCCCCCAGAGGCCGAAACCAGCGACAAATTTTTGCCGTCGTCATTTTGTTCACAACGCGAGGAGGTCTGGATGTGGGGCTTGCCGCGGGCGCGCGCTGGCCACAGGGGGGTGGGACCCCTGGCTGCGGTGAAGCAGCGTGCCTCCACGCGGCATCGCAGAGGCGCAGCGCCGCCACGTGGCAATGCAGCGCCTCCGAGCTGCAAGCGCAGCGTCTCCGCAGCGCGCCCCAACGGAGGACCGCTGCTCGCCCTTCAGAGCCCTCGCTGCCACGGCCGCATTCTCCGGCATCGGTGCCCCTCCGTGCCCCTGGTGCCCCTGCGCTGTGGCAGCCCTCGGGGCAGTTTTTTTTGTTAAAGCCCCCTGGCGATGGCGGGCGGGCGTGACCTGACCATGGGGATAGGGGGGGGGGGGAGCCTGTCACGTCACGATTCGCGCCAGCGCCGTCTGGGAATGCTCAAGAATGGCTCATTCCCAGTCGGCGCCGGTGCCAATCGTTACGTGACCAGAGGGGGTGCGGGGGAGCGGGGCCGGTCACGGGCGTTACGGGTTTGGGTTTTTTTTTGCTCAGCGTGTCGCTCGGCGTGCTCTGGCCCACCACGCTTCGGCGCGACACGTTGTTACGTTGCACCTTCGGGGGGCCTCGGCAGTCCCCAAAATCGGTGCCTTCTCTTGTGCCCGACGCGGGCTCGATGCGGACTCGACGCGGATCTGGCGTGGATTCGACGCGGATTCGACAGATCCGACGAGGCCGACACGGATTCGACACGGATTCGACGCGGATAGGGCCGCGGCAGCAGCATACACGCTGTGCTTTTCCCTCGCCGCCCGGCGTCGACGTCACGAGCCTTCTCCCGAGCAGCCCGCCCCGCGGAGCGGAGCGGCACGCCAGCCGCTTGCAAGGGGCTAGCGTATCGCCGAGGCCGCCGCTGCGGCACGCTATATTTAAGTCGGGCTTGTCCCTCTACAGGGGGAATATTCGAAAATAGTCATCATACCTACCGGTGTGATCTCGCACTGCTTTATTTCGACCGACCGTGTGCCCATAATGCGGTCGTGCTGGTGGTTGTGCTGGCGGCCGTGCTGGTGGTCGTGGTTGGTGGACGTGCTGGTGGTCGTGCTGGTGGTCGTGCTGCTGGCCGTTCTGGTGGAGGTGCTGGCAGTCGTGCTGGTGGTCGTGCTGGTACTTGTGCTGGTGGTCGTGCTGGGAGGTGCTGGTGGTCGAGCTGGTGGTCGTGCTGCTGGCTGGTCGTGCTGGTGGTCGTGCTGGTGGTCGTGCTGGTGGTCGTGCTGGGCTGGTGGTCGTGCTGGTGGTCATGCTGGCGGTTGTGCTGGTGGTCGTGCTGGTGGCTGGTCGCGTTGGTGGTTGTGCTGGTGATCGTGCTGGCGGTCGTGTTGGTGGCCGTTCTGGTGGAGGTGCTGGTGATCGTGCTGGTGGTCGTGCTGGTGGTCGTGCTGGTGGTTGTGCTGGTGGTCGTGCTGGTGGCTGGCCGTGCTGGAGGTGCTGGTGGTCGTGTTGGTGGTCGTGCTTGGTCGTGCTGGTGGCTGGCCGTGCTGGAGGTGCTGGTGGCTGGTCGTGCTGGTGGTCGTGCTGGTGGTCGTGCTGGTGGTCGTGCTGGTGCTTGTGCTGGTGGTCGTGCTGGCGGTCGTGTTGGTGGCCGTTCTGGTGGAGGTGCTGGTGGTCGTGCTGGTGATCGTGCTGGTGGTCGTGCTGGTGGTTGTGCTGGTGGTCGTGCTGGTGGCTGGGCGTGCCGGTGCTTGTGCTGGTGGTCGTGCTGGCGGTCGTGTTGGTGGCCGTTCTGGTGGAGGTGCTGGTGGTCGTGCTGGTGGTCGTGCTGGTGGTTCTGCTGGTGGTCGTGCTGGTGGCTGGCCGTGCTGGAGGTGCTGGTGGTCGTGTTGGTGGTCGTGCTGGTGGTCGTGCTCGCGGTCGTGTTGCTGGCCGTTGTGCTGGTGATCGTGCTGGTGGTCGTGCTGGCCCCTCCCCCTCCCCCCCTGCGCCCCCCTCCCCTTATTCCGACCGACCGTGGGCCACCCCCCCCGCTTCTCCCCTGCGCCCCCTTCCCATTATTCCGACCGACCGTGGGCCACCCCCCCCGCTCCCTCCCTGCGCCCCCCTCCCCTTATTCCGACCGACCGTGGGCCACCCCCTCCGCTCCCCCCTTGCGCCCCCCTCCGCTTATTCCGACCGACCGTGGGCCCCCCCCCGCTCCCCCCTTGCGCCCCCGTCCCCTTCTTCCGCCCGACCGTGGGCCACTCCCCCCGCTCCTCTTCTGCGCCCCTCTCCCCTTATTCTGACCGACCGTGGCCCCCCCACCGCTCCCCCCCTGCGCCCCCGTCCCCTTATTCCGACCGACCGTGGGCCACCCCCCCCGCTCCTCCCCTGCGCCCCCCTCCCCTTATTCCGACCGGACGTGGCCCCCCCCCGCTTTTTTTTCCTCCCCTCATGGCTATGTGCGGCCCCCTTTTTTATTTTTTCTTTTTTTTCTTTCTTTTTTTTTTTTCCCCTTATTCCCGACTGACCGGTGGGCCCCCCCCCCCCGCTTTCCTCCCTTGACGCCCCCGTCCCCTTATTCCGACCGACCGTGGGCCCCCCCCCCGCTCCTCCCTTGCGCCCCCGTCCCCTTATTCCGACCGACCGTGGGCCACCCCCCCCGCTCCTCCCCTGCGCCCCCCTCCTCTTATTCCGACCGACCGTGGGCCACCCCCCCGTTCCCCCCTTGCGCCCCATTCCCATTATTCCGACCGACCATCGGGCCCACCCACCGCTCCCCCCTTCGCCTCCCCTGGCTTATCGACCGACCGTGCCCCCCCTCCCCCCCCCCCCGCTCCCCCTCTGCGCCCCACTCCCTCTTACGACAACCGTGCCCCCCCCTCCCTCCCCCCCTGCGCCCCCCTCCCCTTATTCCGAACGGACCGTGGCCCTTCTTCCGCTACCCCTTTGCGCCCCCCTCCCCTTATTCCGACCGGACCGTGGGCTCTCCCCCCCTCCCCCCCTGCGCCCCCCTCCCCTTATTCCGACCGACCGTGGGCCACCCCCCCGCTTCTCCCCTGCGCCCCCTTCCCATTATTCCGACCGTCCGTGGGCCACCCCCCCCGCTCCCTCCCTGCGCCCCCCTCCCCTTATTCCGACCGACCGTGGGCCACCCCCTCCGCTCCCCCTTTGCGCCCCCCTCCACTTATTCCGACCGAGCGTTGGGCAACCCCCCCTCCCTACCCGCTCCCCCCGTTGCGCCCCCAGCGCACTTAATTCCGACCGAACCGTTGGCCCTTATCCCCCCCGCTCCCCCTCTGCGCCCCCCTCCCCTTATTCCGACCGACCGTGCGCTCCCCTTATTGCGACGGCGAGGGCGACTCCGCCGCCACGCGCCGCACCGCCCCAGAAGGTGGAGAGAGGGGGAGGACAAGGAGGAGGTCGAGAACCACGAGGAGGAAGAGAGGCGGGACAGGAGAAAGTGGAGGTGAGGAGGGGGAGAAGGAGGACGAGACAGAGGACAAGCGACCTTCCTCCATACCCAAACTGACATGCTTCTAGCCGCCCCTTCCCGTCTTCGAATCTGTCCCTTGCCAACGTGTCGCAGCAATTGCGGCACGCTTCCCGGCGCCTGCCAAGGACTGCCTCCCTCGCGATCCCTGGTTTTCTCCATCTCCCATGGACCCACATCGTCATTGTATGATCCTTGGCACGCGTGCCCCTTGTTTAAAATAGTCAGCGGACGTTTTTTTTTTTTTTTTTTTTTTTTTTTTTTTTTTTTTTTTTTTTTTTTTTTTTTTTTTTTTTTTTTTTTTTTTTTTTTGTTTTTTTCTTCTTCTCTTCTTTGTTTATATATATAAATATATATATATAAAGAGAGAGAGAGAGAGAGAGAGAGAGAGAGAGAGAGAGAGAGAGAGAGTACTTTTCAACATTATTGGGGCATTTTTGAATATTCTTAATTTTCCACCCAAAATCTCCCTGTAGGGGGACAGGCCCGACCTGACGCTATATCCAGGGAGTCCTGGCCGTGCCGCGAGCAGTAAACAAAAACGGGGCTCCTTTTCTGCGGCCCCTCGGCAGCCCGCTCCAGTGCGGGCCGCCGAGGCCGAGGATGAGGAGGAGAAGGAGGCGGATTCTGGAGGATGATGAGGATGAGGAGGAGGAGGAGGAGGAGGAGGAGGAGGAGGAGGAGGAGGAGGAGGAGGAGGAGGAGGAGGAGGAGGAGGAGGAGGAGGAGGAGGAGGAGGAGGAGGAGGAGGAGGAGGAGGAGGAGAGGAGGAGGAGGAGGAGGATGGGGATGGGGATGAGGATGGGGATGAGGATGAGGACGGGGATGGGGGAGTGCGCACGGGGTGCGGCGCCCAGTCTCGGCGCTGGACGGCGACATGTCCCTGGCGCTGAAGGGCTCCTTCCTGCCCGAGCCGGACCGCGGCCGGCGCGCGCACAGGGGGGAGGAGAAGGTCCATCCTGACCGGTCTTTCTCGAGCAGTTTTAGCGAGGAGGCAAACGAGGAGGAGGCCGAGCAAGGGCAGGATGCAGACGGCCATGATGAGGAAGAACCATGTGACGGCGACAGCGACGACGATGATGGTAATGATGGTGATGGTGATGATGATGATGATGTTGATGATGATGATGATGATGATGATTGTGGTGGTGGTGGTGGTGGTGATGATGATGATGATGATGGTGGTGGTGGTGGTGGTGATGATGATGACGATGATGATGACGATGATGATGATGATGATGATGATGATGATGATGATGAGGATGATGATGATGATGATGATGAGGAGGAGGAGGAGGAGGAGGAGGAGGAGGAGGAGGAGGAGGAGGAGGAGGAGGATGAGGAGGAGGAGGGGGCGGGGGCGGAGGAGGTGGAGGAGGATGACTAAGAGGCCAGGCGCCCCCCACTGGATGCCCTCCCAGGAGCTGTCCGCTTTCGGGGAGATGGTGGAAGACGGCGAGGTGCCCGGCGAGGCACCAGCACCGCGGGGCGCGAGCTACGTCGGCACGTCGAAACCGAAGGGCGAAACTCGCCACTTAGGGAAACGGATCTTTCGGGGAGGAGTATATACGAATGTTTTCCTCTGATGGCCCGTTCCGCCACGGCTGGATTCGCCTCGAAATCATACCAAGAGAGAGGTCTGTGGAGAAGCGGTATCGGTTTCATTTTGTCCCCCCCCGGCGGGATCCTGAAGGTTTTTGGCAGTCTCAGGTCTCCAGCAGCCCTCCCCTCCGGGGATTGGCGGCACGCCGAAGCCGACGGGCGAAAATCGCCATGAAGCAGACATCGGGGGCGGCCAAGAGTCACCGAGCGCGTTCCACTACTCGGAAAGTGCCTACTCGCAAACGTCCGAAACACACATGTCTGCTTTGATGCAATTTATAACAGATCCCCCGCGGGGGATCAAGGCCATTTGCGAGTAGTCACTTTGCGAGTAGTGGAACGCGCTCGTCTAAAGAGGGGGTGGTGACTAGGGCAAGCTGGTGCACCCCTGGGCCGCGCACGTTCCTCGGGCCATGTTTTGCGAACCCTCCTCGTGGACGCTCCCCCTCGCGGGCGCCCCCGACATGAACGCACACGGGTTCTCCGGGGGCCTCGGGTCCGGGAGCTTTTCGTCTGCAGTTTTGCTTTTCCTTTGGGGTGCCCTCCACGGGGCCCTGGGATTTGCGAGGACAGCCGAGAACGAAGGCTTGGTCCCTGGGGAACGTGCCCAGGTCCAAGACTCGTTTCCTGAAGGATCTGCTTCATGCTTGCAGTCACGACATTGAAGTCGGGCGTGTCCCTCTACAGGAGGAATGCTCGAGAATAGGCAGAAAATAGTCTGGGGACCATTTTTGTTTTTTCGCTAATTTTTGGTATGTTTCGAATACTTTATATTTTTCGTTCAAAATCCGGGGACACGCCCGACCTAACACGGAATACGTAAACATAAATTTGGGCGCCCCCTGGCGGCGCCTGCGGCGCCGCCCCTGGCGCGCTTCGCGCACCAGGGGAGGGGGGTCGAGCGGGCCCAGGACCAGGATGAATCGTTCCAGACTGTTTCTCGGAACTCTCTTATAGCGTTCCGGAGTGCTCTGGAAGGGCCGCGGCGGCCGATGCATCCTTCAGAACCGCTGGACCTCAGAGATCCCCGCTCTCCCCCGGCCCGAATCTGTCCTGCTCCTGGCTTTAGGTCGGGCGTGTCCCCCTACAGGCGGATTTTGGACGAAAAATAGGAACTAGTCCCAAAATGCCCCCGAATGGTCAAACATAGTCCAAAGATCGTCCCCAGACTATTTTTTGACTATGTTTTAAATATACCTCCTGTAGAGGGACACGCCTGACTTGATCCTGGCTTCGTCCCACCTCGAGGCTCGAGGATCGAGATCGTGGCTGTCTCCAGGACCCCCTTGGCCTCTGGAGGCCCTTCCATCGCCGCGGCTGGGTCCGCCTCGAGACTCTGGCCAGAACGTCTCCGCAGCACGCCCCCCCCCCGCGTGGCCAGGGCGGGCGGGCACGGGCCCTCCCCAGGGATCTCCGCGTCGAATCGTTTGCCCACTCTTCCCTGTCTTCGGATGCAACTCCTGGAAGGTCAAATTCTGATTTTGCCTTGGTCCGAAATCCAGCTCAATCCGCGTTTATCCCGCTGAATCCGGCTTCATCCCGCTCAATCCCGTTGAGTCCGGCTTAATCCCTCTTAATCCGAGGCCCACTCCGGCGTAACAGCCCTCCAATGGAGCTTAATCCTCCATAATTCTTCCGGTGAAGACCTCCCACCAGTTGCCTCCTAACCTGTCGGCTCGGCGAGGATCTTCAAGCCGCAGCCGCTGGCCCCGCGGGTCGGGCTTTTTTGCGCGGAGGGGCGACGTGTCTGGCTGGAGGGCGCACTCCCTGCGTGCGCTCGCAGGCTTTGGGCCCCTCGTGGCCCGAGAAGGAGGAGGAGACCGAGGAGGAGATGGAGGGAAGAAGGCGAAGGAGGAGGGCATGATGATGATGAGGGAGGAGGAGGAGGAGGTGGAGGAGGAGGAGGAGGAGGAGAAGGAGGAAGAGGAGGAGGAGGAGGAGGGGGATGAGGGGAGAGGTTTTGGGTGGAGCGTGAGAGAAGGCAGAGGGGAAGGGTGCCCACTGTTTCTTCTTCTTCCTCCTCCTACCATCGGCACTCACTCAACTCTCGCAGTGAGCATCCTTCCTACTTCTACTCCTCTTGTCAACCTAGTGCTTCGCTACGGCCCTCGTGCTTCGGTGGCGTCGGGGGGGCAGGGGCAGGAGGAGGAGGAGCGAGGATCGAGGAGGATCGAAGATCGAGTTTGTTTGCTGTTGATCTTTCGAGGGGCGAGGATCGAGGATCGAGGATCGGGGGGCGGAGGAGGATCGAAGATCGAGTTTGTTTGCTGCTGCTGTCGATCTTTCTGGACCCGCGGAGGCTTCTTGTAGGGGCGAGAGGAGCGATCACGGGGTCAGGAGGGAAATGGGGGGGGGGAGGGAGGAGGAGGAGGAGGAGGAGGAGGTGCGAGGGGGGAGGATGGATCTCCCCTTCCCCCTCCATCCTCCTCCATCCTCCTCCGCCTCCTCCTCCTGCTCCTCCTCCTCCTCCTCTTCTTCCTCCTCCTCCTCCCCCAAGCATTGCCATTCTGCTCAAGTGCAGTTCCATCGTGCACCTGCACGCGGTTGCACCATAGGCCTGGAGGCAGTCGGTCACTTCAGTAGTACCGAAAACAGGGGACCCCACATCACTATCGAGCTGCAGGACTACTTGTACGATACTCTGCGAGTTGTTCAGCTGCCTCCTGTGCAACCGACTCCAGCCCACGCTCGACCGACGCCGGACCTCCGATAAACCAGGGTTCGGACCAGGACTCTCTACATCTGACTCCCTCCTCATTTCCGACATCGTCCGATACTGAGCACGGGAATGTAACGAGCTGGTATGGTTTGCAGAGGCTTGATTTTCAATAACCTTTTAACTCGGTAGAGCACGATAGTCTGTCAGCAGCAATGCTTGCGCAAGGCGCAGCACCCGGTTACGTTCACATTCCAAGAAGGTTAGATCTTGTCCAGACGGCCATTGAACAAACCGACTTGCACAGGTGCTCATTGGACTTTGGCTTGGTCCGTGAAACGCACTTTTAGAACTCATCATGGGACCATTGGCTACAAACGGGCAAGACAAGCAGCAGAGAGTGCAACTAGGCCATGCTACCGCCACGAGCATGACAAACCTCCGCTTCGACGAATCAACATCCGACGTGCGACACATCTGGCAGAACAAGTATCACGCTTTCACACATCGCCAATTGCAAACCCGCGCAGCGTCGCCAAGTATGGAGACTGGCCGCAAAGGTGGCCAGCCACCCGCCAATAAGCAGCACCCAGTGTGGTCTCCGTTGGCACGAGCAATATGGCAAATATTAACGAAGCTCGCCGCATCCATGGCGGCAGCTGACAAACGTTGGGACCGCGACATCCAGGCCTCCTCCTACAGCTACATCTCTGATGCCTGTCCCTCCCCTCAAGGCCCCAGACAGCTTGGAGAACACAGCGACGTCACCTGGCTTTCCTCGGCCTCGCCAGCCTCGTGGACGCTCTTGGACCCCAAGGCAGTCATGCAGAAATTCCTGGCGACGCCAGCTGAATGGAGCAGACTATACCACCGATGGGGCGACCGCGGCATGAGCTCGCTCCGATGCCATATCTTTTGCTTCACGGGCCGCGACCCTGCCCGTCCCGCCCAAGTGTGCGCGGCCCTTCCGCACACGGTAGGGCCAGATGGACACTCGCTCGCTCGCTCGTCCAGGCTCAGCCCCTCTCAACGGTCGTGCAGTCATCGTATCATCAGCGCCGCCTTCACCATTGACACCATTACCAGTATCGCCACCATCTTCGTTGCCGTCGTCACCATCACCAGGCCATCATCGCCACCATCATCATCATCATCACCAACATCATCCGCAGCACCATCATCTTCTTCGTCCTCCTCCTGCGCCTGCCCCTCATTCCCCCCGCCCCTCTCATGCTCTGTCCCCAAGGACATGCCCTCATTAGAACCATCGTCATTGTCGTCATCATTCCCATCCGCATCGTCACGCCATCACCACGGCCTTGATCATCGTCATCCTCAGTCCTGTCATTATCCGCATCATCAGCAACATCATTCGTAGCTATTTCTTGCTCAAGCCATTCGGGGTCAACGGGTCATTATCGAAGACGCCTCAGGCGAATCACCGCCGCTCCCTGCCTTTTTGGAAGCGCCTATGTGGCCGAACGTTGAGGCCAGACCTGCCAAGCTATCGGACCATGTGTTCCCCGAATCGGTTTGGAAAGCCTTCGGGGAACACGTGGGCATCTTGAAGGTCATCTTGGCCGTCTGGAGGCCATTTTGACCCTTTCGGGCCTTCTTGGAGGACGTCAAACAGCGTTTCCCGAAATTCGGAATTCGAACTCTGGGAAACGCAATTTCCTAGGAAAGAACACGCTCAGTTGGCCAGAAGTGCGTTTCCGATCGTTTCAAATTATGGGAAGCGCAACTCTGGCCCATGGAGTGCGGTTTTTCAAGGGAAATTGTGTTTCCCAAAGATCAGAATTAAAATTCTCGGAATTCCGAATTGTCGGAAACGCACTTTCTTTTTTTTGAAAAGCAGCACTCGATAGGCCAGAATTGCGTTTCCCATTGTCAAATTATGGCAAGCGCAACTCTGGCCCACTGAGCGCGGTTTTCCAAGGAAATTGCGTTTCCAATGCAATTCTCTGAAGTCAGAATTATGGGAAACGCAATATTCTCTGAAGAACCGCACTCCGTGGGCCAGAATTGCGTTTCCCATAATTCGGAATTATGAGAAACGCAATTCTGGCCCATTGGGTGCGGTTTTTCCAAGGCAATTGCGTGTCCCATAATTCGGAAGTTGAATTACGGGAAAATCGCGTTTCCCGTGCAATGTGTGCTTGGGGCAGTCGTCCGGGATTGCGTTTCCCATAATTAATAAATCATGGGAAACGCAATACCGGCTCATTGAGTACAGCTTTTTGAGGAAAATTGCGTTTCCCTGAACTCGCAGGGCGAAGCCCTGCGAATTATGGGAAACGCATTCCCGGACGATTGCCCTATTGTGTAATTGTGGATGGGGGGGGAAGGGCGTGCCGCAGAAGACTTGCAGAAACCCAGCCCGACAGCGCCTGGCACTCCACCACGCCTCACCATGCCAGGGGGCACCATGGCGGATCTGAGGTGAGGCCATACATCATGCCATTGGCTCCGCGGAGAGGCTTGACGCTACTTGCGGCATCCACCGTCCCCCTGGCGAGCGCCGCCGCAGCTGGTGTCATCCACCTGCCGCTGGAGCACCGCCCTAAGAGCCTGAAGCACGCGCTCGCTGCACGAGCGCGCCGCTCCAATTTCAAAGGCATCGAGGCTGACCAGGTGCTCGACGGGCTCCCCTCCGTGTCCCTGACGGACGTCCAGGACTCCGAGTACTTCGGGGAGGTAGAGATCGGAACGCCAGCGCAGAAGTTCACCGTCATCTACGACACGGGCTCCTCGAACCTGTGGGTGCCCAGCAAGGGCTGCACCAACTGCAAGCCCCATTCCCCCACCTACGACGCGACTGCGTCCAGCACCTTCAAGAAGGACGGCCAGCCGTTCGCCCTCCAGTACGGCACCGGCAGCTGCAACGGCTTCATCAGCCAGGACAGCGTCAGCATGGGGGGGCTCACGATCTCGGATTTCAAGTTCGGCGAGGTCACCACTGAGGCGAAAGACGTGTTCGGTGAGGCGCCTTTTGACGGCATCCTCGGCATGGGCGTCCCCAAGGCGGCGGTCGATAAGGTGCCTATGCCCATGGACCAGCTCGTGGCTCAGGGCAAGGTGCAGCACAACATCTTTGCCTTCTACCTATCTTCTGATGGCAAGTCCGGTTCCACCCTCAGCCTGGGCGGCACGGACCCCGCATTCTACACTGGCGACTTCACCTACGTGCCGGTTGCCCTGGCGGCGAAGCTGCTGCCGTACTGGCTTGTCTCCGCCTCCGACCTCAAGGTGGCGGGCCAGAGCACGGGCTCTTGTAGCGGCTGGACCGGCTGCTACATGGTGGTCGACACTGGCACCAGCGTTATCGCTGGGCCGCCAAGCGCAGTTGATTCGCTCACGTCCAAGATTGGCAACGTCTCCCAGGACTGCTCCAACGTGGACGCGCTCCCAACGGTCGCCATCACCATGGCCGGGAAGGACTTCGAGATCGGGCCCGACTTCTACGTGATCCGGGCGGCGGACGAGAGCGGCAAAGCGCAGTGCATGCTGGGCATCCAAGGCCAGGGGCAACGTCAGAGGGGGATGGGCTAAGGGGGGTTCATCGACCCCCAATTGCGCATTCACCGCCGATAAGGGCCCGATAGCCCGCCCTGCCCAGGACCGGATGGATGTGCTACCGGTGACCTATCGCCGATTCATCAGCGGTTCGGCGATGACGTATCGCCGATTCTAGGTCGATGTCCCCCCCCTTGAACTGGTCCCCCCTATCGTTCCCCACGCGAGGCATCAACGCCGGCGTCCCCATCTGGATCCTGGGGGACCCCTTCCTGCGCAAGTACTACACCGTCTGGGACGCTGAGCAGCAGCGCGTTGGGTTCGCGCTGGCCAAGAGCCCGTCCACGCCCGCGCTGGTGGTTTGAGGGGCTGCCGAGGGTCGCGACTTACGACGAGGGGACGCGCCGTGGAAGGGGAGGAAGGGTGGAGAGAAGACTGGTGGGGGGCGGCTCGATTTTTGTCTGCAGCCCACATCTGGTGGCCTGCTGCCGCGGCTAGATTTTTGGTCTGCAGTCCACATTTGCTGGCCTGCTGCCGTGGCCTCTACGGAGAGTGACCGCTGGCAAGGGCCGGCGGCGCACGCGAAGGAGTGCGAAGACGATGGGAACAAAAACATCATCAGCATCACCGTCACCACCACCACCACCATCATCATCGTCGTCGTCGTCGTCGTCGTCGTCATCGTCGTCGTCACCCACCCCCTCTGCTGCTCCTCGTCCTTCTCCTGCTCATTCCCTGCGGTCCGACGTGGCGAAGACATGGAAGCACAGTGAGAAACTACGACCTGGGCCCTAGACCCCGTCTTCCCGCGGCATCTCTGGAGCGGGATCGATCCAGGCCCGAATCTTGGCGAGAACGCTCGGCGAGAAAGAGCTGCGAGGCCAGGATTCGGGTCTTGCCAGAGAAGGGTGTCCCTGGCCCAAAGTGTCCCCAGGATTCCTGGGTAGCCGCAGACGGTCTCTATAGCACCCCTCACGAGGCCCAGAGGGCCCCAGGGGCTCCATGGTGCGAAAAGACGGGGACACTTTGGGCCAGGACCACTTTTGGCAACCCCCGGCTGTCCTTGTCGTCGCCCTCACTGCTCCCCACGCCCCCGCTGCTTGTCCCGCTCTCGGGCGCTTCCCTCCCGCATTTCGCGCCCAAGCCCGGGCCGCTCACCACGGCGGCCCGCGTGTGGCCGCTCACGCGCTGGCTGAAGATGAAGATGAAGATGATGATGATGATGACGATGATGATGCTGATGGTGATTATGATGGTGATGCTGCTGCTGATGCTGCAGATGCAGATGACGATGATGATAGTGA